CCAGCCCCCCAGAGCTGCCAACTCCCAGCCCAGATGGTGCAGCCCCCCGCTCACAGCGCACCACGGGCAGGGGCTGCTCTGGCCAGACTGGGTGCTGGTTAACTCGTTGCCGGTATGCATCACCCATAAACCGGATACCCTAAATAGTACACTAACCCTTTTATCGCTGGGCTGGTGGAACAGGTGGTCTTGCTTCAGCTCCCGGTTCTTCTGGAAGCAGCTTTGTCCCCGCCCCCCGTGCCAGCCATCAGTCAGCACAAGCTGGAAGGTCTCCCAGCAATGTCTGTTTCTTAGCGGCAGTGTCTGCGGCTGGAGGCCGATAATCCCCCGGATAAATTAGAAGGGGAGGTTATCTTGCGCTGCTGTCTTGTTCGTGGTCGCGTTGATGGAATATTCTTCTCCAGGGCCAAGGAGGCTGGTAAGCATTGGTATTCCGCGGGGCTTTGCGCGAAATGAATCATCTTCCTCGGCTGTCTATTGTAAATAAGACGGCAGCAGCTATCTTAAGTCTGTCACTCTATAAAAAACCGGCTTGATGTAGGAAGAGCCCGGTGTGAGTCCGCAGCTGCAGCGAGCTTCGGCGTCGCTGAAGGTTGATCGTCCTTCTGGATATTACCGATGTGCGTGATCAGCGTGGCCAGGGAGCCGTGGCCGAGCGCTCTCCGTACTAGGTTCTGTGCTAGCTCCGCGCGGAAAGGCCGTCTGGTTTCAAACTTCACCGCCAGCCACAGTCCCAGCTGAAAGGGGGTCAGAGGCCTTAGGCCGGAGCCTGAACCGAGCCAATTAGCAAGCAGGGAATGCAAAGGCCTCCCCCGAACCTGTTAGAAACCTGGTGTGGCCCACTGCTCCGTGTCACATGACCCCTCTGAGCCCAGCCCACAGCAGCTGGGCCTCTGCCTCAGGTCTCCGCCGCAGCGCTGGGGTCTTCTGCGCAGAGGGAGTCAGGCAGGGGCTGGCTGTGCCGTGGAGATCCCTGGGGAAGGGATTGGGGCACAGGAGGAGTGTGGGGCTGGAAGGGAACGTGGGTGAAGGGGGGTTGTGACCTGGGGAAGGGATTGGGGCACAGGAGGAGTGTGGGGCTGGAAGGGAACGTGGGTGAAGGGGGGTTGTGACCTGGGGAAGGGATTGGGGCACAGGAGGAGTGTGGGGCTGGAAGGGAACGTGGGTGAAGGGGGGTTGTGACCTGGGGAAGGGATTGGGGCACAGGAGGAGTGTGGGGCTGGAAGGGAACGTGGGTGAAGGGGGGTTGTGACCTGGGGAAGGGATTGGGGCACAGGAGGAGTGTGGGGCTGGAAGGGAACGTGGGTGAAGGGGGGTTGTGACCTGGGGAAGGGATTGGGGCACAGGAGGAGTGTGGGGCTGGAAGGGAACGTGGGTGAAGGGGGGTTGTGACCTGGGGAAGGGATTGGGGCACAGGAGGAGTGTGGGGCTGGAAGGGAACGTGGGTGAAGGGGGGTTGTGACCTGGGGAAGGGATTGGGGCACAGGAGGAGTGTGGGGCTGGAAGGGAACGTGGGTGAAGGGGGGTTGTGACCTGGGGAAGGGATTGGGGCACAGGAGGAGTGTGGGGCTGGGAGGGAACGTGGGTGAAGGGGGGTTGTGACCTGGGGAAGGGATTGGGGCACAGGAGGAGTGTGGGGCTGGAAGGGAACGTGGGTGAAGGGGGGTTGTGACCTGGGGAAGGGATTGGGGCACAGGAGGAGTGTGGGGCTGGAAGGGAACGTGGGTGAAGGGGGGTTGTGACCTGGGGAAGGGATTGGGGCACAGGAGGAGTGTGTGCCACCCGCTGATTAGCAGAGTCCCCGCAACCTGCCTTTTGTTTCCACGGGAGGTGCCCGTCCACACGTCACCCTTTTCCTGGCATAGCCAAACCCTGGCCTGGCTCTAAGCTAGGAGAAGAGGCAGCTGCTCCCCGATCGGGGTGGTCCTCGTGCTTATGGTTTAGGAGTTCCTGAGCAGACGGACAGACAGACCCACGGACAAACACACAAGCGCTCTCAGACACGTAGTAGATATATTCAGCGTGAGCTCTGATTCATCTCTCTAGCCTAGTGCTCTTTAATCAGAGTGAACTTTTGATTGGTCTGAGTTTGTTCAATGCCAGGTTTGCTGTCAGAAAAATACATTTCTCCGGCGCGACCGCACGGTTGCTTTGTGGGTTTATGCTGGACATGGCACATCTTGGAAAAAGAGATTCGATACAACTAATGTTCACCCCTGGTGCTTCCTTATGCAGCCAGTGTGTGTGTGCGTTTGTGTGTGTGCGCGCGCAGCCTAACTACACACAATCCTGCAGTCTTACTTGTATTTGCTCACGCGATGCCTAGCTGAGGAATGTCTAAAAATATGCATCTCAAATAGGGGATTAATTTCCACATTCTGCTTTGTTGCTGTGGCTGTCAGTGCCAGAAGCAGTGCTAAGTGTGTAGCACAATTGTAAATAAATCTATTTTTATTGCATCTTGTTCCATCGCTGATTTACAGTAGGCACCACCAGAAGAGTGAGGTATAAAAAGTCCTTTGGTAAATTTTTATTTGTTCTAATTAAGGCTTAATTTTCAAATGTTCTAATTGGAGGTGCCAGCTGTTCGGTTTCCGAGCGGTTACATATCATAGGAGTAAATAATGCCGTGTGGATGTAGATGCTTGTGTTGGCTGGTGTACTACCTCAGCACCACCCGCACATTGTGTGCTCATAGGCACGGGCGGCGGGTATCCTAGGCGGGGGGAGGCGTTCCCTTCCCAGAATGCCTCATCTGGCCTGCCCATGCTCCAACCGAGTTCCCCAGACCCACTCGCCCAGGGCTCCTGCCAGCCTGCTCTCCAGACCATCAGAAGTGGGGCAGGCTGGAGTCACGCTACCTGCCCGCTCTCTGGACCTCTAGGACCAAGGGAGGCTACGGGTACCACCCTGGAGCAGGGAGGGGGCCAGGGCCAGGAGCCATGTTGTGGGAGGGAGGCTGGGCGGGGGCACAATGGTAGGGGGAGGTCTGGGCTCTGGTGGGCCTCGCTTCCCCAAGCCATGGGGTTGCCAGCCACCCATGCACTGGGCAACCCTTTGCGGTGGGAAGTAGCTTTTCTGCCCTTTATTTAAGTTTTCCTTTTCGGCCCCGTTCACCAGAGAAAGGGGAACCGTCCGCGTTAGAGCCCCGGGCCAGCCGACGGGCAGCGCTGCTGGTGTCCATGGCTATTTGTCTGCGTGACATCTCGCTTCCCCAAGCCATGGGGTTGCCAGCCACCCATGCACTGGGCAACCCTTTGCGGTGGGAAGTAGCTTTTCTGCCCTTTATTTAAGTTTTCCTTTTCGGCCCCGTTCACCAGAGAAAGGGGAACCGTCCGCGTTAGAGCCCCGGGCCAGCCGACGGGCAGCGCTGCTGGTGTCCATGGCTATTTGTCTGCGTGACATCGGTGGAGCTCTGCCAAACGACCCCCGCGGAGGAAACTGGCTGTTTCAACCCCAGCTGATCCACGTGCGTGAACCATTCCATTTAGTGCACTCGGGCTTTCACACAGCCCCAAGCAAGGTCCCTCACCAGAGGCTCTTCAGAACCGAAAGCAGGCCCAGGTGTCCAGCGTGTGGCTGTGAAAAATCAGGCACCGAGCTTGGCAGGCTCAGAGACGAGGGGAGAGAGCAGTCTATGGTGGCCAGGCCTCCAGCTGCAGGAAGAGGGCAGCTAAAATGAGGAGGGACCTGGGGACCTACGAGGAGAGGCTGAGGGAGTTGGGTTTGTTTAGTCTGCAGGGGGGGATTTGATAGCAACCTTCAACTTCCTGAAGGTGGTTCCAAAGAGGATGGAGAGAGGCTGTTCTCAGTACTGACAGATGCAGAACAAGGAGCAATGGGCTCAAGTTGTGGTGGGAGAGGTCCAGGTTGGATATTAGGAAAAACTATTTCCCTAGGAGGGCGGTGAAGCACTGGAATGGGTTCCCTAGGGAAGTAGTGGAGTCTCCATCCCTAGAGGTGTTTAAGTCTCGGCTTGACAAAGCTCTG